TCTTCGACCCCAAAGGTCTCCTTGGCACACACAAGGTTGTTGCTGGAAAGCAACCTCCAGGGGAAGGTGCTCGGGTCTATCACAGCTATGACGGTTCATGGCCTGCCTGGATGGAAAGCAGCTCCCACAGCACCCAACAGGCAGCAAGTCCTCCTAAGCCTCTGGCCCATGGCCAACTTCAACTTCACCAGGGGAAGAAACAGTAATGAAGCGTGTATCCACAGGAGATCTTTTCAAAATGTCATTAAGAACATCGCATAAAATTAACAGCTTCAGGAATCCCAGACCTTTCCAGGAGAGGAAAGTTGGTTCCTTGGACCAATTTTTGTTCAGGCACCAGCTCTGTTAAGGGCTCCGCTCACTGTGACAGCTGAGGTGGGTCACTGCGAGACTGCTGCTTGGAGAAACGATCTGGTTTTGCTAAATTCCTTCTGCAAGTCCTATGAATACAAGGCCCGAGATTTTTAATGGTGCGTAGGTGTTGTTCTGTTTAACATTGCAAAACTTATACATGACTTAGCTAAATCTTATTTTCAGAAGTGACTGAGGCCCTCAGGAGCTTAAGGAGTCAGAGCAGGATTTTAAAAGACAGTTGAGAAATGATTTGGTTTCATTTGAACAGACAGGAAACAGAGAAGGGCCTATAAAGACACCCTGGCGGTGGCAAAGAAAGCTTATGAACTGCCTGTCATTTTGCTTTACAACCACCAAAGTCTTCTCCTAACACCTACCTTCGAGATCAATCCCAGGGCAAAGGGAGAAAAAAACATCAAGGATTTGAATAAACGTACAAAAGGAAGGGGCAACAGATGACAAATCCTAAAGGACTAGTGCATTACGGGATGGCAAATCCTTTTTGAGCAGACATCAGATGCACTAGATGGCAAAGAAATGAATGATGTATTGGGAGTCAAGAAAGAAATAATGAAAAACTAAAATATTTTAGCCTGTTTTCCCAGGAAAACAGCTTACATGATCACATTATAAGTATATTTGTGCCTCTTTCTTCTCCCACTTGTCCCTTTTAATCGAACTAAATAGAAGTAAAGAAACCTTTCAAATAATTTAAGTGCCTACAACTTGCATAAAAAATAGCCCAAATAGAGAAGACGCTGCAACACAAACTCAACTCTGTTTTAACAAGCTGAGACCCCAGAAGGGAAAATTGGTACTGTATATATGCTCTCAGTGTAGGAAAAGTGTGATTAAGAGATAGCAAGTCTTCGGAGGACTGGCTCGGGAACAAGATCAACTTACATTAGAGAACTGGCAAAATCACGATCCTCAGCTGCAAGTCCGCCCTGCTGCATGGACCACAGCTTGCTTTTGAAGCAGGCAAAGAGCAGTTTCAAAGTAAAGTAGCATCAGGTTTTGTTCACCTTAACAAACCATATGTTGTACACTGTAGCAGGCGGCCATCTGCTTCAGTTCATATTGACAAACGTATTTGTTGGGGAAGTGGAGGTTCCTGGAGGCACCAGCAGGGTATCAAAGCAGAGGGGAAAGCAACTTGGAGGACAGGGTAATGGAGAGTGAAGCTCGAGCTGACTGTGAAACTGAAAGCAAAAAAAGGTTAGTAATAAAAAGGCAAGAGTGGAAACACTCTTGGAAAATAGTGCAACTCCTTCACAAGGTACAAAAGAAGTCACCAAGCAATGGGGAAAACAGAAGAAAGAGAGATCAGGGGCCAAAGTCAAGAGAGAAGAAAGGCAAACCAGCAAATTGGAAGTACAGAAAGGTGTCAGGCGGTAAAGGCAAAGGCTATCACTCATCAGAATTTCTTCCCCTATTCTTTTCTGTTGTCTTAGGAACCAGCTTTTCTTCTCACTGTTTCTACAGCAGCTTTCTCCTCCTGAGTCAGAAGGCCTTTCCTACTGTCAGCTTTTCACAGGCTTCGTGCTGCTACTTTGTAGGCAGGAGAAAACAAGACCCAATGGGAGGAAACTCCCGATCTTATTCAGAGATTAACACGGGCAGCAGGTCTGACCATGCTGCTTCCCCATCCAAAGATCCTCCCCTCCTACCCAAGAAGGCCACCTCCTACACACACCTGAAATCACACTTTGTATCTGGCACTTACAAAGCACTTGACAGCATCTCATTTCCCAAGTAATTAAACTGTTGTAAACATCAAGCATTACCACAGAAAAAAAATGAGTTAGTCTTTCAAGAAATTTGTACTTCTCTGAAGCTGGAAACCCCCTTCCACCTAGAAAGACAGATGGACAATAGGGAAAACTAGGACATAACGGGCTTTAACTACCTGAAGCGCAGCTGAGACAAAAGTGAGGCTTCGATGGAAATCTTGAAGTTCTGTTTCCCAAACTGGTGAAGGCCAGAGCCTCAGGAAAAAGTAGCAATTACTTAGCAAATGAAAAAAACACCAAAACAAAATCCTTTACGTAATGCATGCATATGATACGCAGTAACCATTTGCAGCTCATAGCTTGAAAGGGTGCTTTATTTTGTTTCAGTACAGATTCAGTCCAGTTCACAGAGAACACATTGGTTAATACATGTCTTCACTTTGTAGGAGAAATGGGCGTGAACACATGAGCACTCAGGTGCCAGCCTTTTATAGCCAATTTATGCAACTTTCACCTCAAAAGCATCATGTATGGCACACAGGTTTCATTAGCATCCAATACAGGAGCACTGTAACATCATCTCTAGAAACACAGGAGAGGAGGATGTTAATCTCAAGGACAGTAAAACTATATATATACACACTGCTTGGGGACGTAACTTTCAAAATTCTGTTTTTGACATTAACTACAAAGTTAGTTTTAAAAGAATGCATCCCTCAATAATACATGTTCTTCCTTGAGGTACACATTCAAGTTCAGGCAGTCTTCACTTTAAGCACCCATTGAGAGCTGAGGACTCAGAGCAGCCAAGCATCCCAAACCCAAGTCTCCACGTCTCTGTAAGCTGCAGTAGCAGCTAATGGGAAGAAGGGTACCTGAATCTCAGCAGAACAAAGCAGTCTCCTGTGTTTAACCATGTTATTAGAACCTGAAATAGCAACTAAGGCAAGGATGTTGGCTAAGGCAGTCCCTACCAAACTTACCTTCCTTGTTAAACATAAGGTCTGGTAGTACTCCTGAGGCTTTGGGTTTTTTTAAAGCACAACACAGGACTCAGGACTCCAAAAGCTCATCTGTTTCCCCTGCACATCCAGGCTTATACCAGGTGGTCTAGCAAAAGACACTGTTGTTCTTCACAAAACCTTAATTACTTACAAAGTTCTTTGATAACACCCAGTACAAACTCTCCCCATCACAGAGAGCGCTTCTATCTTTAAGCAAAATAAAGCTGATAAATACCGTAGGCTGTTATCTTGTCGGGGAGGGGGGGAGGGCGGCAGAAGAAAACCCCCAACCTCTTTCTGGAGGGAATTAACCAGTGACTTCTTTTAAACCACATTGGCTGTAATGGTGACAAAACCCCAATATCCTCCACAACCTAACATGAAACCAGCAGGAACAAGGAAAATACAGAATGAAGATAAGAGGACAGAAAAGGGACTATCAAAGATACTTTCAGTCTGAAGCATGCTTCAAGTAGCTTAGATTTTCAAAGCCAACTGAAAAGTTTTGTGCACTCAACTTGCTCCTGAGTACTATTTTCCTGACCTTTCCACATAATTACTTTTCTCTTCTTTCAACAGATCACAGGAGTGAGAGACAATGAAAGCAGTGAGTTAGCATATACTATCAAGCACAGAAAGTATTCTATAAGCTGTCAACTACAAGAGCAACATGGCACCTTTCATTTTCCCTCCACCTAAAGCAATCATGTTTTGAAATGTTTAAAAGAAAACATCCAAAGTTCATGCCCAAGCTCCTCAAAGTTTTAAACACAGCAACTTACAACTGAGAGAACACTGTTCATCTTTTTATTTGTAAACCAGAGTTTGAAATACCTTACAATATAATTTTAATTTCATTTTTCTAAAGAAACGGCATTTAAGAACTGAAAGAACGGTGTGCCATTAAGTGTTAAGGAGCATATTTTAAAAACCTTTATTAAAAAAAGGTTATATAGGTATGATGAATTTAAGTTGTATTTTAACATCAACTGCTTAAGCATCTAAATGATTGAAAATGAAGTGCAAAATTGCAAGTCCAGTCACAGATGAGGCTGTAGAGTTGTGCTCAAGATAGAAGAGGTCTACCCATGGCAGGCACAGCTGCATGATCACAAGCTAACTCGGTCTGTCTCAGCCATGAACCCTGCAGATCTGAGCGACACCACTGATCAGGTCAGTTTGATCTACTTAATATAAACTCTCCCTTTCTAATAAGAAGGATATTAACTAAAGCTTTCAGTTAAGCAATAAAACCTTTCTAATTAGCAACAAAAAATAAAAATGACATGCTTGCTCTGTTTCAGGCACTTTCAAGATCATAGTTTATTTACTGTAGGTAAAAAGCTAGTATACAGATTAAGGGATCCCTTAAATTTCAACTCTACAGTTATACACCATCTAGTATTCTTGCTCTGAATATAAACCAAAAAAGTTTCTAAACACCTGTAAGCCCCACTATAAATCTGCATTGTTATGGAGAAAAAAAAATATAAATCAATGTTTAATTTTTTCAATGCATAATATTTACACTGTGAAACCAATGGGAGATAACACGCAGTGGCAAAGAGGCAATAAATTTTAAAAAGCCAGAGTTTTATATTATTTTTTTACAATAGTGTGCTAATCAGCATAATTGTATATAAAAAAATAAAATAGAGCAGAGCGTCCCATTACAGAAATCCTAATCGTCTGAATTGCAGTCATTACTTGCTAACCATTTACATGCAACACCTGCTAGGACTGACTTTTTGTTTTTAAACTGTGAAATAGATTATGAGGTTTAAGAGACAAACATTAATTAGTGTACAAAATTAAAAACCGCACTCAAGAATTGTACTGGTCACGAGCCTCCTCCATACAGCAGAGGAAAAAAACAAAGTACAAATGATGATAGAAAGTGGTCTCTTTCTGTACACTAATTATTGAAGGCAATGCATAGACTGAGAACACCTGCATGGCAAACTCTGCAGACACTGGAAACAAACAGCTTTCATGTACATGCTCTTTACAGGAGGCCTTTCTTTCCATCAAATGGCAATGGCTGACAGCAAATAAGGGGCACCAGGTGTACAACTATCTTGCAAAATACTCAGATGGGGCAGTTGTTAATATACAATTTGAACTATATATACAATATAATGGAATGTATCCCATCCCAAAACTGGTTTATGAAACAATTGGACCTTTCTATACTAGCCTTATGATTCAGCTATCGTTCTAACAAAAACGTAAGTATGCAAGAGACTTGTGTGAAAAGTAGAACTTACGGGGCATTTTACAGGAACTATTGACAAAGCTGCTTAATGGCATTTCTGCTTTTAAAGTAATTTTGTTAGAGATAATTAAAATAACATCTGTGTATAAAATGTCCTGATAGACACTTCAACATGGAGCTTTGGTGATTTAAAAAGGCCCTTTATAATCTGTTATGAATTGTACTGCAGAAGTATTGATGCATGCACACATCTGTGTCAGCTGAAACTAGTGGTCCAACTGCATGCACATTTCCTCCTTGAGGTGTTTTCCATGTTAAACCACTTCAATAACAATATGATGAAAAATAGATTAAAGAGAGTATTTCAGATAACTCAAACTGAATAGGAAATGGAATGCCAATATGGCAGTAAAACCTTTTTCTGTTGTTTTTAAACAGGAAGGTCTCTTGTACCAGCAGAATCCTGTATACAGATACACAGAGAAGGAGGGAATGCACCACTTACAATTCCCATGAAACAAAAGCCGATTCATCATGTGAGAAGGTACAAATTACAGAAAACATGAATAGTCAATAGAAGAGAAACAACTGGTTTACATGAAAGAGGAGAGAACACTTCAGTCTGAATGCAGTTATTTTGTGAAAGCTGCTACAACAGCCCACAGAACCTCACTTGTGTTGGCTTTCATACATTCAACCTCAGGGTCTAAATCCAGAAGCTGCCGCACTCTCTTTGTGGCTAAATCATACTGCTCATCCAAAAGGGGGGCAAAAGCGTTCTCCAGAACATCTGAAGCATGGGCTAAATAAACAAGTGCCAGCAAGCGCTTGTCCATGCGGTGAGGGTCATTCACCCATTTGTCAAGAACTGCTTCTTGAACCTTCTTGATAAGGCGCTGTTTGATATTGTTGTTGGTGAGAGGGTGCGTAGTCATGTCAAAAAGAAGGAAGTTCTGTTTCTCTGTTGTCAGTACACCTTTTTCCACTAGATTTTTAGCTAACCGTTCACGGACATTTCGCAATTGGTAGTGCAACTTCAATGGGTTCCATGTTTCACCTAAAAAAGCAAGCGAAAAAACCAACAGTTAGCTAAAGTTTATGCTGTACTGTTACAGTGATCTTCCCCCCCAGCCCTGTGGTGCAGAATGAACTGTCAAATTCATATAGCTGACTATTACACTAACATATTGTGCTAATGTCAGCATTGCTCTGATCTCTGACCTACCCGGATATAGGCAGAGACAGAGACCATGAGAGCTTCCTTGGAGGAGCTTCAGTGTACATTTAAAGTTTGGACAAAATGCTAGCTAAGCCATGTCTTAATTAAGAATATGACAAATAAGCAGGGTTGTACTGAAGGAATAGAAAAAAGCAAACCTCAAATGAGTCATGAAGAAAAATTTTACAATAAAAAATAAAAATAAAAAATATAAAAAATAAAAAATAAAATAAAAAAAATTTAAAAATCTCCTCAAATCTTGTGCATTGGTCTGCTTCCAGCCTTTTACCATTTCAGAGACTGAAAGAAGTGTCATTGCCTTTCTTTCTGCCACAGAGACAAGCTAATGCACACCTACCCTGTGCATTTCTCTTGCTTCAGGTTTTCATTCTTCTCTCCCTTCCTGTCCCCACCAGGTGAAACAGTGACCATGCACTGTGTGAGTGTGTGTGTGTGTGTGTGGGGGTGTAGACATGAGCCCATGTTGCACAGGGGCTTTAATGTTTCTTTAAAAATTACTTCTAATGCTTTTTATTAAGGTGGGAAAATCTGGCCTTTCAGAGTGTGCGACTGTGTGTGCATAGAAGAGTGAATTTAAAAAGCACAGTATCAGCATCAACAACTACCAACGAAGCTAAAATTGTTAAGCACTGAGAAATCCACCTTTGCTTAAGAATTTGCTTAACTAAAAACTTCAGGTCCAGCCTAAGTATTTATCTCAAGTATTAAAATCCCCTCCTCATGTAAAAAAGTCTATGCATTTTAGGAAGTGAGAGAAGAAACAGCAGTATTCCTTATACAGATGGGGTTTTTCTACAAATGATACAAGAATTTCCGTATCAATTTGTTTCTATATCAGAAAGCTTTTTAAAAATTAATTGGTTAATAATAATCCAACACAGATGACTTTAAGGTTTCTCTCACTGCAATGGTGACATACAGTGTATCCGAGTAACAGCCAAGTTAAGTAAACAAATGAGGTGACACCAAATGCATAGTGAAAGGCAGAGAACTCACCCAGGCCTGAACTATACGCAAGTCCCTATAACCCCCACACCTCACTGAATGCGATTTCCGAGCTTGACCATGAATGAAACTATCACAAAAGTGATATCACACAAAAGTAGTTTCCTTAGAGTTTCACAAGGCAAAGGACATTTCCTAGTTTTTTCTACATTTGTTAGCTGGATGTGGCTATACAGTAATAAAAATCAGTACTGTGGTGACACCTTGTGACCAATCTCATCAATTACACAGACACTTCCTTGTCCAAACACAGACGCGTTTATTACATCTACAGGAAGACCTGCCATTTTTATCCAAACTTCTATATGCCCTACACTTGCTTCCCTTAGAGGCTATTTATAACAACATCAGCATGGAAAACATCATCTTACACATCCATAAAAATATTTTCATGATGGCTTTGAACTCATATGTACTGTAACTTCAAGCAGCATTCTTTGCATCACTGATAATTACAGACAGAGCAGCTATTTTTCCAGGCCCTAAAGCAAAATTCTGTAAGAGTATAAAAAAAAAAAAACAAACCAAATATTTTTCTTCAAAGGGCTGTCCTCTAAACTATGGAAAAAGCAAAGAACCCCAATGCCATCTGAGAACTAGTAATTAATAATCATATGCAAGTAGAAATGATTGATCCAAGTCTTAGCCACAGCACTGAAGATAACTATCTTCTCACAGCCAAAGCTCAGCAGGGTCAGGAAAACCTTAACTTAGCTCAAAGAAAACCTACAACATTGTTCATTCATTAGTTGACCTTTTTTGAATCAGTACTAACTTGATGCACTCTGCACTGAGAGAGAAGGTGAAAGGTCAGCACAAATTATGTATTTGGGACAAGAAAAATGAATTGTTTTTGCAGACTGTAAAAGTGAGGGAGAGCTGAGCAAGAACTGAACTGCAAGGCTATGGAGCAGCCATGCCCCCTGCTGACAAGGACTGCTTTGTTCTCCTCTCTCCCCCCTCTGCCTGACAGTCAAGGAGCAAGAGGGGAGGGATGGCAAGGACAGGAGTATGAAATGATGTGCAAGGAAGGCTGTTTAAAGTGGTACAGGACGAACGGGAAGAGCATAATGAAAACAAGGCGGCAGAGAAAGATGGAGAGATTGTGCACATTTTTGAAACTCTTACTTATCGGTTGTTACAAGTAACAAATAGATTTAGATAGACAACTTCAAGTCTCATGACCCTCTACCTGCCAGAGTCATGTTACTGACAAAACAGCAGGGGGTTTTCCTGCACTGTCTGCACAACTGAAGCTTGCTCTGATTTACTCCAAGGAAGCTGCATTTTACATGTTTTGTAAAAACAGACAAACCCTGGTAATGAATTCTGGCTACAGAAGAAAAAAGAAACAAAAACTAACAAAACAATAAAAGCACTCCATGTTAAAAGAGAGTCATTATTAATTTCAGTTTAATTTAGGCAGTTAGATCTCCAGGGTGCAGTTTTGATTTACTTCAGAGTCAGCGGAAGGCTTTTCTTCCACAGAGCTGAGATGTCCTCCGACACTTCCATCTAGATCCTTTCTGTACCAAGTTAAGTCAAAAGCAACAGTTACTTGGTATTTGATTAAAGGCTACAATCGTCAAGAGACTACCCTACAGGACATACTAATTAACTTTTTTGCATACTTTCTCCCCAAAAACCTTACAGTATAATCTCTAGTGATGCCAGATAATTAGATTTATTGGGGTAAAAAAAAGCAAATACATTATGTCCAAGGCTTACCACTAAGCAGTTCAATCCAATTTTGTACTGTTTCAGGAGGCTGGGTCTCTTTTATGTGTTTCAGAGCTTCATCAAGCAGAACATCCCCTGTAGGAGCATCTGACTTGCAAATCACCTAGGACAGAACAAAATGCAGTCAGTATTTTGCCTTAATTCTTATACCATGAACATCCATTAATAAAAACTGGAAAAATCTACCTGTTATCAAAACCAAGGAACCACCTCTAAGAAGTTTAAAAAATACTTAATTGTTAAAAAAAAAATACTACTGGGATTTTAATTACAAAGCTATATTAAGTATTAGCTTATCTATAACTTAAATTAACCTTAACTGACTAAAACTACGGTATTAATACCATGCCTATTTTTTAAGGAAGATACCATTAACCCAGCCAGGTCCTTCACTTCCTCCCCAAAACGAAGTACATTACAGTGTTAAATTACTCTCTGATGGCAGTCTATTTTACTGCTTCAAGTCAATTTATCCAAAATACTGCAGTTAAACAATCAGGCCACGTGAAATTTAGAAATAAATTACAAACTGGAAAAGCAGGAAAACTATGTTGATGGATAAGAATAGGAGCAAGACAACATCTGTAAGTTTTACAGCTCCAAAGAACACGTTCCATTCACTGACAGTTAAAACACACGTATTAGGTGAAATATGTATGCACTAATAAACCCCTTAATATGCAATAATAAATGCAATATAATTTAAGGTTGTTATTAAAGAACTTCTAAAATTGAGTTCTTCCCTCATGAGAACAACAACAACAAAAAAATCATTCACAGTAATATAAAACTTAAGAGTTGAGTAACTGCTTGTTTAAAAGTCGTTATATAAACCATGTAAAAATACCATTTTTTTCTGTTTAGAAAAACAAGAGCACCAAATGAAAACATACAGCTTGAACTAGCCCAAGTCAATATGTTTGAATAAAAACAAAATAGCAACAATGAAATCTATCTTTCCTTAGGAAAAGAAGAATTACTACAAAGCTAGTTATGAAAATAATGATTAAATCTTTCAATTTAAATAGTTTTACAAGTTAGCACTTTATAAGCATGAGCTAAAAAGATACCAGGCAATTGACAGAAAAACTAACACATCAATAGAATTCCACATATAGAAAAGACAAAGCAAGTGAAAACTCTTATGTTTTGTAAAGCTTCACAGTAGTCAGAAAGATGTCCTGGAAAAGCTTTAAGTGTCCTATTGAAATACATCCCAAGTTTAGTTCTGTTCAGTAGTTCTAATAATCCTTACTACAAACAACAAAGGAGTACAATACATTTTCATAGTGTCTTTAGATGACACTAAAATGAGTTGCAATGGTAAGACAGCTTCAATACTGGCAAGATGATCCCAAACTGGAGATGTGTAAAAAGTCAGTGAGATGAAATGAAAAGGAAAATTGCTGAAGAGATCTCTGTGGATACCTAACAGGTCATAGCTGGAATACTATTTCCAATTTAGATGGTATAAATAAAGCATAGAAACTACTATTTTTAAGAAAATCAGCAAGAATGAACCAGTCCACAATGCCAGGTTAAAAAGAACGAAGTTTGTTTAGATCTAAAAAGAAAGCACAGATTTTCACAAAGAGGGTATCAAACAGTAGCTTAGGGTGCCTACTTTGGGAAAATAACAGATACCACCTTATTCTGGAAATACGGAAGATGCACGACTGTCAAAAACTTCAACAGGCAAATTAAACACACAGTGAAGAATTTTAAGACTAAACACCTACCAGGGAGGGACCAGAGAAACCTCATTATCTGTTACTGCATCAAGATTGCTCAAAATGGTCTCTTGAGATACTGTCCAGATCTCCATTTTGGGGAGCTGGAGATCACTCCAACCACAAACCTCAGATATTTGGTTTTAAGAACACAACTGCATTTTAATCCGAACAATCCGTATTTGAAACTAAACACACAACAACGTGTATTTATCTTTCTGGTTTACAAGCTTGCACCACAGTGTCATTCAAAACTCCTATTAAACACATATAATGATATTACATACTTCCCAGTTTTATATCCAGATTCTGAAATTTTGTTCTTTAGTTATACAGTAGCATACTTCAAGTTGGATTTTTAAGATGCTATTAAATCCACCTCTCAGATATTACCTAAATATTAACCTAAAACCACTCAACTTATTTCTTTTTACTTCTTTTAAAAACTGACATTCCAACAGCATTTTAATTTCTTTGAAGTGTCCCATACGATTAGTTTCACAGTAACCTTAGTTACACTGGATAAGCTCCAGCCTGCTGCAGTTGGTAACCTACTACTCACCATCTCACTTTAACAGGTCAGATGTGAAATCATCTTCTTGACTGTGTTTTATTACCAAAAAAAAACAAACCACCAAACCCAAAAACAAGTAAAACAAACCTTACTGAAGAGATTAAAAAATGCTTTTAAGTCTAGGATATATGGTTTTTTTAAAAAAAAAGTTCAGAAAACAGCTTTCCTTGCTTATTTGGGGTTAAGATACTTTTTTCTACCACTGCAAAGAAGTTTAAGAAGCTATCCTGAACATAATTTACCATGACAACGTGAGCCTGAACATACAGGTATTTATAGAGAAAAGAGCTGTAAGGAACATTGACCTCCCCATTCAACTCAGTCAGGACTCGGTAAGCTCCTGTGAAGCTGCAAGGCACAGTGATTTTGTTTCCAAGTTTACTGTTCTCGGCAGCCAGGCTTACAGCACCATTTCTTCTCACTTCTCTGCTACAGTGAATATTTACTTCACAGATTCTTCTGACTGTCCTTCCCCCCCAAACAAAAGCAGTTTGGTTCACACTTGCATGGTCCTTCTCTTCCTCTTCCATTCCCAGCACATGAAGACCAGCAACAGCAAAAGCCTCTGTATCTTCATGGATCTGCCCTTTCTTGAAGAAGGATTTATCAATGAATGATTCCTGGCTACCTCTCTTCAGCGTCGTAACAGCACAAGATGAGCAGGAAATCTAGGTGGCTTGAGGATCTTGTGAACTGAATCACCACAGAAAATTAAGCATCCACAGAGAGGGTTTTATTTTTTTTTCTCTCTTTAACAGATAAGCTAAGGTAGAGAAAGAAGCTAAGATCCTGGTTCTTCAGAGATGATGGTACTTAGCCTTATTGAAAAAAAACTTTTTTGTTCCAATTTTTCAGTGATTTATCAGGTACTAGATTGCCTTGTATCCAACTCCTGAGGAAATTTCAATTATGAAGAATATTTAATTTGCATTTTCAACAATGCAGCTTTGCAATTAAAAAATGCTAAAGATTAAGCACCTCTTGCATTGATTTTTAAGTAAATCTCATTATTCTAATACAAATAATGATACCATATCTAATACAATAATTCTAATACAAAAATTCACTCATGCACGAATCACTCAGAATTGTCAACTATAAAATACTGAAGTTAATCCACCAAGGATTTGTTGGCACTTCTTTTGTTTTTAAGAACTCTTACGATTTAGTTTGCTTTCTGAGGCTGTTAAGGCAGCACAGAGTACCATTTTTATCTTCAATAACCACTAATCTTAGAAATTATTTTGTTTATATATAAACCTCAACATTCATTTATTTGTTTCTAAATTGATGCCAGTACATAGAAGTCCAAAATGATGCAATAATTACATACTCTTAAGCCAAATTTACAAGGATGTTGCAACACAAAATACGTCATATTGACTTTTCAAATTTTGCTAAGGTCCATCAAGTCCTTGGTCTGCTAGTTTCTCAGTCTCATTTGTCTCTCTATTCAAGCATGGATACAATGCATCTTGATCCATCCTGAAGTTCTGCCTTAGAAACTGCAAAAAAACCCAACTTATCAGCAAAGATCCACCTGCTTTAAGGCTTGAAGTGAAAATCACTGTAGCTAGCAATCTTTCAAGTCTGCTGTATGACCAAGGCCACAGTTAAGCTGGTTAGAAATCCATATTACTGCTCAATGAAATAGTTCTACCCTCTTCTTGTTCTCACCTTATCACTTGTGCCAGCAGCTCCACTTGATGACAAGATCAAGAAAGTGATTCAAATAAAAAGTAAACTAATTGAAGAAGTGAATTAGTTTTCAGCCAGAGGGGTTACCTGACAAGGCCACACAAATGCTAGCAACAACCCAAGAGGGACTCAAATAAGCCTCTTTGCAAAGACAGGAGTACCCTTCTCAGCAGCAACACAGGCAACAATTTCAGTCACTGAAGCCTAAACTCCCTTCAGACCATGGCTTGAAGATACACGGTTTCGATTCACAAATCAAAGCTTTGAGTTCTAAGCAGGTTTTTCTTTCCTGCAAAATCTGAGTATGGACGTTGGGTGAGGAAGAAATAAGGGTTAACCTGAGAGGCTAAAGAAAATGGTATTGCCACTGAATCACAAACTTGGATGCATCTAGACAGTTCATTCCACTCACTAAGCACAGTATTTAATTCACAGTGAAAGCTGAGGGCAAGGAGAGTAAAGCCTGGAAAAGGAGGACAAGGAGGACACTTGGTAGAGCTGAGCCACTTAAATCTAGCTAACACAAAAACAAAACTAAAATTTGGTGTTACTGCAAAACTTCAAATAAGGTACAAAACAACACAAGTCATTCATGAGAATGATTTCTAAATTGAGAGAGGTGGTGCAGAGGGAGAAGACACCTCATATGTATCAGCCATTAGGGATTTTATTTGCAAGAAATTACTTAATCAGAAACCAATCTTCACTTGAGTTTTAAGTTAAAGCCTTTTTCACAGAACTCTCCTGCCTGCAAAAAGAAATTCCTCATTTCCTCTACAACAGCAGTAACAAGAAAAACTTTAACACTGGGTAGCTTTCAGATCTCCTAAAATGGGGCGGGGGAGAAGGAAGAGGGGAGAGAGGAAACACACCAACCCATCCACAAAATCACATGATAAAATTTAACAAAACAAAACAAAAATCCACAAAAGATGACAATATTTTTGTTATACTCTTTACTGAAGATATCAGCAGGTTATTTTTCCATTTTCCTATAAGAAAATATAGTTAAAATTTCAAGTAGATAGAGTTGACAAGGTTTGCACAGAATGAAAATAACTGCTAGAGAACATTCCTGAATGCCTAAGGAGCCAAAAGTTTTGGAGAAAAAAAAAAAGTGCAAACTAATCAATGCTGAATATGCTTAAACGAAGCTAAAAGAAGTAGGAGCTGTTTGGCTGAACAGAAGTTCAATTCTTCAGAAGAGGAAGAAGCTGGGAGAAGATTGGGGCATTTGTAAACTTTCCTTTAAAAAAATTTAGCAAAAGATACTATTGACAGGGAAATGTGCTATAAAGGAGAATTTATTTGTGGTGGACAGACAACATTTGACCATGTTTTCAATAAGCTTATTTTACAAGAATCCTCTAATGCTGGTAAAGTAAAAATTCTTCAGTGTGACTTTGCACATTTTCTACTAAGGAAAAAGCCAGTGGCAAAAGTAATAAATTAAGGCCTCAAATCTTCAGCCTAATTCAATAAAGGACCTTAAAATTTTGCCCATCTTAAAGACCAGTGAGTACAACAAATTTAACACACCACTCACCTGCTTAAACTAGTTACAGCTTCGTGTTCCCAGGGGCCCAATGAACCCGGATCATTTCCTTCCTATGCACTGCAAGCACAAACTGCAACACTGTGTACACCAGAATTAAAGTGGTGGCTTGCAGGATACTCTGGCAAGCTGTCAGTTTAGCCATTCCTGTCAGCCCCAGCCCACATCTCACCAACGTTGCAAAAGCCAGTTCCTTCAGCAGATTATAACTGGTGCTACTGGCTCTCAGCGGTAACTGCTCCCACCGCACCCTGGCCAGAGCCACTGCCAACTGTTTGTGCAAGGTTCCCAACAGCAGCAGGAACACGTCAAGAGAACAAACAGGAGCAGAGCACAAGTACAGAAGATTTTCCAAGGCACTTCAGCTCACTATTTAAACATGCTTAACTCCATGCATCTAACGTAGGTCACTCCTTAGAATCCCTATCCCCACATAAAGAAAAAAAAATAAATTGTTTTTTCCTTGCAGCCAGTTGTAATTATAGCTACTGTATTGCCTGGAGCATGACACAAAAGTAAATGCGACCATTTTCCTCCACTTACCTTTCTTGTTAATAGACTTTTGCGCCTCATTCCACAAGCTTCTAGCTGAAGACGCCCTCGTAATGCCAATTCAATTAACATACAGCCACGCAATCCTGAGGAGATGCAATCATTCCAGAACGATGTGTAACCCTGTGAAGAATGAAAGAGTAAGATACCTCCATCTCCACCTGAAAGCAAATAGGAAGAGGGACTTACTGCATTCTCTAAGCAGTTCTCCTGCCTTCATAAACTTTCAAAGTAGCATCCCTAGTCAACTACCACTCCTATAGTGAAAGCGTGAAAGAGAAACAGACTCACCCCCTATTATTTTTGACACTTAGTCTCTGCTCTTTGAAGAACAAGGAAACCTCAGGAAAGTGATAGAAAATGAAACAGCAAGATATCAAGAACTGAGACATATAAAGTGTAGTTTATATGTAGTCAAAATAAACTTACTACATTAAGAAATGAAGCATTTGGCATTACACATCACATAGGCTTATCTGAGTTCTCTGAGAAACATTAACATGATTTTACATCCATAAACAATACAGCACTGATGAAAACCACTTGAAAATCAATTAGTAAAAGATGGACTATACTGGAAACACAAATGCGGCAATCAACACAAACCACAGAACAGATTTTTGAGCTTCAATATAGTTAACCAAGACAACATTTTTCAAGTAAATATTTGGAATAGATACTACTTCATCATTAAAATCCTTTGAAAACACATATTTTTAAAGCTCTATGTATATTGCTTTTATATGGACTGCAAAACTGCAAACCACACTTATTCTATGAACCACATCACATCTATTATGCTTTTTCATCTACACTTCTGCATTGACAGCTGTCTATTTAAATGGCAGAACAGAGTATTTGACCCAATAGATTTACTTGATATCTAGAAATACATGTATTGACTTTTATACTTTACTGCTCAACAATTATGACCAACAAAATCTTATAGAAAGGATTCTATTTTACCTACAGAGTAGCCAACATAAATATCAAAAAATATGCAAGAGTTAAGTATTTAAGACAAAAAAAATCATTCTGAAAAATGTTTTTTCTTTTGAGAAATGACTGCAGCAACACTTGATATCACTCAGAGAGACCTTCCAAAGCTACTCAAGTGATGCATCTCTGAAAATACCCACCTTGGGACAATTTAGAAAAAAGCGCTGGAAACAAAAGGGGGGGG